AAAAAAAAAAAAAAAAAAAAAAAGAAAGAAAGAAAACACAAGATAAGGCTGAAGTTATTTTCGGCTTTCAGAAATAGGACACATGGAGGTCCTAGGAACAGGACATTCAATCGGGGAGAAGGTACATTAAAAAGACTAAGACGTTAAAAAATGTATTGTTACTCTATATGACACAGAGATAGAACCATGGAATCCAGTTAGTGAATTATGACAAAGCAAATATCCACCCCCGCCTCACTCCATCAGGAAGGTAGTGTACTCCAGAGCCCCAGAAGTCTCCCAGGCCCCTTCCCTACTTCGTATTTCATCACTTGCAAGTTCATCCCTGAGCACCAGTTTCTACTGCTCAGCATTTTGCTGGTGAGACTCATCCATGCTGCCGGAGAGGATGGAGCACACTAACCCTCATTTATTCCTTCTGCCACGGCTGCATGCCGTTCATATTATTTCTGGTGTTTGTCTAGTGTGCCCAGGGCTCCTAGGAACTCTTTCCTTTTCCCCAGTATTGGGAACTGAAACCAGGGGTGATCAAGCCCTGAGCTGCATCCCCAGCACTTTATATTTTTATTTTGAGACAGTTTCCTAAGAACTTGCAATTCTCCCTCCTCCACCTAGTGAGTTGTTGGTGGAGGTGCCCGCCGGGGAACTCCCTTCTGCGTGTCCCCTGGGGCACAAGCAGACATTCCACATACAATACTGGTAGATCACAGATCACACATCTCTTCGGCTTCACGGGATGGCACAGCTTGGCTTTCCACAGCAGGGCAGGGGCCTTCTTACACTTCACGTGCTCAACAGTAGCCGGGGTGCCCGGTCCGTTTCAGTTTTGCCACCTTGTCATGTGCATGATGGTACTGCACTATAAAAATTAACATTTTAGCTGGCCACGGTGGTGCACACCTGTAATTCTAGCAGCGTGGGAGGCTGAGGCAGGATTATCTCAAGTCCAAAGCCAGCCTCAGCCACTTAGTGAGGCTCTAACCAACTCAGTGAGATCCTGTCTCTAAATAAAATATTAAAAAGGGCTGGGCATGTGGCTCAGTGGCTAAGTGGGTGCCCCTGGATTCAATCCCTAGTACAAAAAAAAATTAAATTAATGTTTTTGTTTTAGTTAGCACACGGCTTCCATTATTCCTGTTAAAACTTCAATTAGCGGTCTTATTTCTGTACATAGAAGGGATTTTTTTCTTTCTTTCTTTCTTTCTTTCTTATTTTTAAGATTTTTTTCTTTGTTTTTGGTTTTCCACAATTTTGCTATGTGTATCCAGGTGTAGTAGTTTTAGTTTTATGGCCTTGCTTGGGATTTTTTGTTTATAGAATCTTTTGGATTCGTGTTCCTATTAGTTCAGAACATTCTCAGCACTAACTGGGACTATATAACATTGCCTCTGCGTCCATAGTCTGTCTCTCTCTTTTTTTTTTTTTTTGAGTGGGGGAGAGGGGATACCAGGAATTGAACTCCGTGGCACATACTGAGCCACATCCCCAGCCCTATTTTGTAGTTTATTTAGACACAGGGTCTCATTGAGTTGCTTGGCACCTCACTTTTGCTGAGGCTGGCTTTGAACTCACAATATATCTGTATTTTCTATTCCTTTGTCTCTCTATGCTTAATCCTAAATTTTTTTCCACCTATATTTTAGCTTAATCATCCTCATTTTTAACAAGTCTAAAATGCTTTTAAAACCTTTATTGAGTTTTATTTGGGGGGGTGGTTGTACTGATAAGCTCTGAATATTTTATTTGTTCTTTTTCAAATCTGATCTGCTATAACTTTGCGTTTCAAGTTTTCTTTAGAAAACTTCAATCCTGTCTTTTCTTTCCTTAAACAGATCACAGACAATTTTTTCTAAGACACGTGTCTGATATTTCTCTATCTGAACCCCTGTGACCGTTTCTATTGTATATACCTTATCCAGGTATATATTACTGGGCCCAAGGTGTAGACATTTCTCACGGTTCTACATATATATTGGCAAGTAAGCTGTTCATTCATTTCCCATTTAACAGCCGTTTCTTGAGCATCTGCTACATTCTCGTCTCTTTTTTGAGCCCGGGTGAATCAGCAGGGAAGAGAACAGACAAAAAGCATGCTCTTCAGGAGCCTTAGCTCAAACAGAGCCAGAGATACTAAAGAAAACTTTAAAAGTATGTGAGAGTAAAAAAGTGAATTTATGAAAAGGGTTGGGAGGGTAGGGGGTGGTTGCATGAGACTCTCTAACGAGGTGGACAGGGGAGCTGACTCCCCAGATCTGATGGAGGCGAGGGAACAAATGGCATGGATGGCTGGAGAACAGCATCCGAGCTGAAGGGACAGCAAGCAGAACCTCTGAGGTGGAGCTGTGCTTGGGCTGTTGGAGCAGTGGGAGCAGGGGGTGGGCTGGGAGGAGGAGGGTCAGGATGAGGTCGAGAGCTCCTGAGCATGGGGCGGGGAGAGGCAAGCCACCAAATGCCACACTGGGCCCCGGGAGGACTTGCACCTTCTTGCGAGCGAGATGGGAAACCTTTGGAGGGTTTCAACCTGTTTTAAAGAGATCGCTCGTCTTCATTATCAGCAAAGGGGGAGCACGCTCTTCATGGTACCCTTGCTAATAAAGGGTATCACGTGCTTTTCAACCCTTGCCGATTTCATAGGTGGATACACTTTAATGTACACTTCTTTTATTGGAAATGAATATTTTTAATATTTTGTTGGTTTTTTTCCCTTGTGTGAATTATTTATGGCTTCACTCAGATTCTGCAGTTTTTTTTTTGTTTCATTTGTAGATGGGCACAATACCTTTATTTTATTTATTTATTTATTTATTTATTTAATGTGGTGCCTCACACATGCCAGGCAAGCACTGAGTCACAACCACAGCCTCTGCCCTTTAGTTTTTAACTTTACTATTTTCTCTATATACAGATACTTGTATTTTGTTTTGTTTTTCATATTTTTAACTTTCAAATATTGAACAAGGAGTTTATATGTATTCAATGTACATAGTATGAAACACTTGATACACATATAGAATGTGTGTATGTATGCACATATATATATTATAATGTTCACTATGATCAAATTAAGAAATACATCCATCAGACTTCCAGAACTGGTTCATCCTTTTTTTTCCCCTTAAATATTACTCTTTATTTATTTTAAATTGGTGAATTTTATGTTATATGATTTTTAAAATTTTTATTGGTGCATTATAATTATACATATTAATGGATTCATTATGCTATATTTCTATGTGCACATAACATAACTTGATCGATCTCAGCCTCTAGTATCTTCCCTTTCCCTCTCCTCCTCCCTCCCCTTGATTTGCTTGCTCTATTCTCATGATCTCCATTATTTTTATTATTATTATTTTAATTAGTGCATTATAATTATATAAATATAAAGGTGTATAGATGCCGGATATATTTTGTTACATTCATGCAGGACATAGCATAATTTAGTAGATTTCATTCCCCAGTACTTCTCCACCCCTCCCCTCCTCCCTGTCTCTCTCTCCCCTTCCTCTGCTCTTTGGGTCTCCCTTCTATTTTCATGAGATCCCCTTTATTTAATTTTATTTATTAATTCCTTCTTTTTTCTCGCTCTCTCTAGCTTTCACATATGGGAGAAAACATTTGAGATATTTGCATGTTGTTCCATCTTTTAACTTTTGATTCCCCCACACACACACACACTGGTTTTATGCATAGAAACTATGATATTCTGGTATTTGCTAATTTTATAATTCTTATGGTTGGATGAAAAATGGATCCAGAGAAAATAGAATCCATTTCAATTTAGTAATTACATGAAATAAATGTCAATGGACGTGGGGAAAATAACCCTAATCATGCAAAGCACTTCAAGATGACATGCCAAACATATTCTTGAAGGGAAATGCTGGTGCTCTGGAGACGGGAGATGCTGGGATTACCCAACAGCTGTTTGCCCGTACATAATCACCTGTGGCAGTTGTGTCCCAAGAGAAAATAGGCTTTACAGGGCCTGCTGAAATAACCAACAAGGCTAGAGGAAGTATGTTAACATCAAGATCATCTACTATTATTTCAGGCCTGTGAAATGATACTGGCTTTGAAAGTTTCTTTTGTATTGGAATAACCCCTACAGAAGAATTGATAGTGTTTATAGCATTTTGGATAATGAACTTTTTTTTTCTAAGTAGATATTCATAGGTCATATAAAAACAATTATATATTTATCTTCCTCCTAAAAGACTCCTGCTTTTTAGCTAAGTATGTCAGAATTTCCAGAGACAGGAGTGGGAGATGAAGTCAGGCAACCTTGTGTTTACGAGATCGCCAAGGGAATCCATGCAGTGAATACATAGACCCAAGCATCCACTATAGTGGGCATCCATAGTTCCTTAAAATTCAAAAGCACTTCTAAATAAAGGCCTAGGACCTTTTCAACAGATTTCATCTCTTTTCTGTTCACAGTTTCATAAGCTTCGCATCCCCAAGTCTTCTATTCAGGTTTGCTGGAATTTCGAGAAGGAGATTTCTGGAAGTTTACCTCCCTTCCACCCGACACCCATCAACTCTTCCACCCCTGAACCAACTATGGGATTTACCATTCTACTTTTTTTTTTCTTTTAGTATATTCGTTATTTTCTACTTTTATTTTTTTTCCTTAGTTGTTCTTTTTTTTTAGAGAGAGAAATGGTTATTTATGTATTTTAATTATTTCTCCACTTGATTATGATCATATTTAAAAATACAAACTTGTTTAGAGTACAGTAGTGGTCACAAGCCAGGAAGTTCAATAAGATATATTCTCACTGTCATTATTTTCTAAATACTCTTGAACTCCAGCTTTGGTTTAATCTCTACCCAAGAAAACAAATAATTAGGAAATGAGTTTGTTGTTAATTTCTCTTTTATAAAAATTTTTAAAGGTTTTAAATGACAAATAATAATTATATGTGATAATACAATATTAAAATGTGATTTTTGATATGTTAACAATGTGAAATAATCAAATCAAGCTAGTTAAAAATTCCATCATCACATATTTAATGAGGGAGTTTTCATTGTTTTGATTTTAGTTATGACTTTCTAGGCTGACTGCATTTTGATTACCCCATGTGGTCAGTGCAGTTTCCTCTTTGGGGACCCTGCATTTTTCACAGATATTTATGAGAGTGATCTATTAAATACATTTGCATGTGATTTTGCTGAAATGTTTTAGATTCTTATTTGCCTAATAAATCTGAGTATATTAAAATCTCCCACTACCATTGAAACAATATTGTCTTAATTGTATTGTCCTTAGATTTCTGAGACTTTTAGCTTTATATATTTTGATGTACTGCTGTTTAATACATAAAAGTTTGAATTTTAGGACACATTGTAATTTTGATTAATATAAAGTGATTCAATTTGCCATGGTCGGGGGAGGAATTCTTAAAAGGTTATTATCAGACTGAAGTCAAGCAACTTGACCATTCATGTTAACTTCTGCAAGTATCCTGCTTATGCAATTATTTTTCATCTTTTAGGTCTTGCATTTTTTCCATATGTATCTTTTGAAAAGAGAATGTTATTAAATTTACAAAATTCTAATTAAATTTTAATATTTGATTCAATCTGAACACCTATGTTTTAATGGAAACTTTAACTTGCTTTTTCTTCTTGAGAAAGTACTTAAGGTTTTTTTTTTTTTTTAATTTTACTAGTGACTCCCTTTACGTTTCAAGGAATAACTTGAACCACCTTTTCTCTACGTAGAGGCAATCTTTTTGTTCTTATCCTATAAAAATGAAGGAATATAATATGATCACTTCCACATTAATGTTCTTCCAGTGTTAGATAATAAAACCCAGAATTCCCAATCAACATTATTTAGTTGTAGTTTTATATTATGTGTTGTCTTTTTCAAGAGTTATCTTTACATTTTCATCACCTCTACACAAACAGATTTACAGTAACCATCTAGAACTACAGTGATCCCCCGACCCTAAGAACTCCAATATTGTAACTTCCCCAAGCCCCAGCTCTGTTTGTTTTCATTTTGATGCCTCTCCTGATCAGCAGGTATATCCAAAGCCGGGAAATGGATGTGTAAGGGATTTGTCTCCACGATCGAAATTCAGAATATTCACTAGACAAAATATGTGGACATAGTGAGTTGGGCCCTCAGTGATGTCAATGAGTTCCATAATTTTACTCACCAAGTTGTACTTCAATGGAATTGTTTTTTGGATAAATTATTTTAGGAATTCTTCTTTCATTTCCAACTCTTCCTGCTAAGAAATCAAATCCACAGTCAATGGCATTAGAATACTATATGATGCATTCCCAAATACCATAACATAATAGCAAGAAGCACATCAGAGAACAGATCAATAAACACTGGTCAAGAAAAGACAAAACCTATGGTGTGAGAAATTATTCCATAAATTTATATATATTTTTTTCAACTGGGAATAACTAAATTGCTGAGGAGGGAAAAAAAACTAGAAGTTGAGTTACCAAAGGAATTTCCCTCATTGTATATTTGGTATAAATGTAAACTAATGAGACGGTATAATAAAAACCTCATTACTTATTAATCCAAACACACTTTTCAAGTTCTGGCTAGTTAGAAATGATGTCCCCAACTTATCAGTATCTTCAGTTCCATTCCTCTTTCTTTCTATCATTTTGGTGTTCTTTTCAATCCTTTTCTGTCATTTTCTAGCTCTTTAATCTATACCACTCCCACTTTATGCTTGTCTCTCTGGATTGACCCTCTGGATCCCATGCTCCTTGGACTTTCCCACTCCTTCCCTTCTCAATTTGCCCACTAAAAGTTAACAATCCCCTGCTTAGTCCCTCATTCCTTCTATAGGGGTAGGATGTGAAAATGTAATGAAGGAAGCTAGGGGAGAATGCAGAAATACATGCCCTGTACGATGGCCATAATAATTGTGCATTCTACAAACTATTCCAACTCAGTATCCCCAAATAGCAGCTATCGCCAACTAGTCCCCAAACCCTCACTCACTGGATCACACACATGTCAAATCTGGAAGTCATTCTAGGAACCAGCTTTTCTTTCATCCTCCTCAATTTCATTACCAGTGCAACAAATTTTACCTCCAAACATTTCACAGCCTGTGCCTCTGTCTCCACTGTTAAGTCATCTTATTCTCTACTCTTTTCCTGGACAATCTCATCCACACTTGCGATTTTCAGTTACCACTTCCAATGGCTTTGAAAGTCATATCTCCAGACCTTCCTTTAAGCCCCAGACTCACAAAGGACATGGCTTTCTCTACATCTCCTTTGGGATTCCTCAAAGGTACCTCACACTCAGCCTATTAATGACCAAACTTATGATCTGACTCCTAAATCTGTTTTGTTCAGCCTCATGACTCTGCGCTTGTACCCACCCAGAAGTTGTTTAATGGCAACATGGCAAAGCTTATGTATAAATGGCCCCTTGAGCTTGCCCCTGTTTAACTCCACGTCCTCAGTTCCCTCCACTCCTCATCTCAGACATACTTACGTTCAAATGAACTTCATTACAGATGCAACATAAACCATGACATTTCACACTTCCACACTTTGCCTTATGCTCTTCTGCCTACAGACCACTTCTTATTTTTCTTTACATTTATAAAATCTATTCATCTTTCAAAATTCTGATGAAAGAAAACTTGAAATGGAACCACCATGTGACCCAGTAATTCCACCTGAGCATAGACCCAAAGAACCTCAAATCAGCAAACTATAGTGATACAGCCATATCAATGCTCATAACAGCTCAATTCCCAATACCTAAGCTATGGAACCAACCTAGATGCCCTTCAACAGATGAATGGATAAAGAAAATGTGGTACATATGCACAATGGAATATTACTCTGCCATAAATAAAAAAAATGAAATTGAATCATTTGCCAGTATAAGGATGGAACTGGAGGCTATCATGCTAAATGAAATAAGCCAATCCTCCAAAACCAAAGGCCAAATGTTTTCTCTCTGAAATGTGGATACTGACTCAAAATAGGTGGAGGCAGGGGAGGGGAGAGGATGAATGAGGTTCACCAGATTGGACAGGGAAAAATGGGGGGAAGGGAGAGGAGATGGGTATAGGAAAGACAGTAGAATGAATTGGACATAACTTGCCTGCGTTCCTATATCTGAATACATGACCTAAGTATAACTCCACATCATGTACAACCACAAGAAGGGGAAGTTATACTCCATGTATGTATGGGATGTTAAAATACATTCTACTGTCATGTGTAAGTAAAAAGAACAAATTTTAAAAACTGGGAAAAAAATTGACTGAAAGCTAATTCCTCTTAAGAGCCTCCCTAGACCAATTGCTTGCCACCTTGTAGCTCCTTCTGTTCTTTTCTGTGTCCCTTGACACCATGAAAAAGGTGAGCCTTAGCATATAATGTTAAAAACAATTCATTTATATCTTCAAATTCACTACCACCAGGCTGGAGTTTCTCAACAGAAGGAATGATGTTCTGAAAGTGTTAAATTGTCAGGGTGTAATGAAATTCTGGGCATGTGACAGATCACACACGTTGATGGAACTGGCAGGAACTATAGACTCTTGGACCCCGTGACCTCTCGAGGTATTCTTTTTTTTTTGTTTCCCTTTGTAAATTTCAACCTTCTGAAAAAGTTTCCCATTTACTCATGCAGAACTGAAGCATTCTGGTAATCGGCTAGTCATTTGGTGAATAAACAGACCTATGCGTTGACAAGGCCAGACACTGAGCTTGGTGCTGGGATTCCGCTGGGAACAAGACGAGGACAGAGAAATTCCCAGCCACAGGAAACCCAAGAGCACGAAAACCATGAAATATAGCTCCATCTTTGCTTTCTTAATTAGGTGGCCCTCAGTGAAGGAAGTCAAAACGGAAGCCACCCCCAAACATCGTGATTTCAGCAAAGAGAACCGGGGGACGCAGGAGGAAGAACGGGCTGGAAGGCAGGGCACCCCTGGACTCCAGGAACCAAGGACCATCCTGGATTGACCCGGAGCCCTCCCGAGGGGCGGCAGGGAGTCACCTCTGCTCAAAGGACCCTCTAGGGAACAACACCATCAAGGACTGGCTAGGTATCCCCCAGAACTAGACATTCGTGACCAACATGGAGGTCCCAGTCAAAGAAATATCCAGCCTTTCCTCCTTTTCCTTCTGGACGCGTAAATACAGAAAGTAACTCTCTACTGAAGAATGAGCAAAACGTGACAAGAAGACAACTTTGCCCGGTGTGTGTCGAAGGAACCGGGTCTGCCTGGACAATGAAGGCCGGGGTTTCAGTCCTATCTCTGACACGAGTCAGCTTTGTGAATTTGATGAGTGGCTTCTGTCCTGAGCCCCCATAAAATTCAGGGTCTGCGCCAAATTATTTTGAGGATTTCTTTGAAGATTCTACTTTTCAAATCTCCAGGGCATATGGTCCACGAAACTGGCTGTTCTGGGTCAAGAAATGAAATCTCATGAACAACAGGTTATTCTAGAACTAAGGCCGGAAACACTGAACCTTACAGAGCCCAAGACAGAGTAGGCCAGTGCTGGAGTGGCCCACAAATCGCTCCCAACAGTGAAGGCAGAGGGAAATCAGGGTCAAATTAATAATACCCACGATGCACTGAATACCTACACTTTGTCAGGCACCCCAACAGCCACCCTATATACCTGATCTCATTTCATTTTCCCAAATCGACCCAAAGTTTTGAATATTCTGGTTTTGCTTTGATTTTTGTCTTTGACAGATGGGGAGAACTAAGTTGCTCATGCCCTTTTGCCTCACTCTTTCTACCCTCTGATCTATCCGTGGCATATTTCAAAGCCTATTAATCTTCAAGAAAATAAAAATCCAGATCACTTCTGCCCAAAGCCTGAAGCCAACAGGCTCAGCTCCGTGTGAGGAAGACCAGGCAACAGGTGTGAGCGTACTTACCGATGCTCACGTTGATGCTGTTCAGAACCCTGTATGCTCTCCCGGCATGTGTCAGCTCGGCTGCGCACGCATAGCTCCCGCTGTCCTCTGCAGAGACATCATACACAACGAGCTTCATTTCCACAGGAACAAACCGTGTCTCTGTGATCTCTTTACAATCCTAAATAAAATAAATAAATAAATTCCAGTTAGCATTGGGGGGTACCAGTTACACTCCTAATTAGCCCCATCCTCAGAACTGTGGGAAGATAAGAAATCTATGTGAACCCTAAACCTTAGATCATTTACAATCTAACTAAAAGACCAACAGATGATAGATGATTGGTAGATAGAGAGAGAGAAAGAATGGATGGAGATGATAAGTAGACGAATGGATGGATGGATAGAGAGAAAAGAATAAATGATAGACAGATGGATAGACAGAGCAGGAATTCCTTTGTGGAATTCGTCTGTGGATGCATGTCGTGTGTGTGACATAGTCCATAATCTGTATATTTGTATCTGTCCATCTCCGTCTATCTACCAAAGATTTGACAAAGTATTTCCTAGGCTAAAATGAGTGACACAAACAGTAAGTCCAATAAGAGTTGAGAGGGGAAGGACTTGTGTAGGCTAGAGAGAAGACTTCATGGAGGAAGACTGGGACTAGGTCATAAAGGATTTTAACAGAAGAACAGGAACAGGTAGGAATGTTCTCCATGGCAAGGCCCATTTCTCCAAGTGGAAACTCATCTAATGGTGGGAAGCCCCTGTGCTTTGTGAAGCCCGGGGGGATTGTAAGGCTGTCAGTCTAGGTGAATAGTGGCCGTTTCTACCATGTTGCAGGCCCAATTATACCTTCTCTACTTATTGGGGTTTTATTTTACAAAATCCAAAATAACTCTTCACAAAAAAAAAATCATGTTTGGGGGTGTAAACAGTGGTAAGAGAACACTTCCCAATCCACAGAGAATGGCTATCACATGACTTCTCCTGTCAGCCAGGCCGCCACCTGACTCCACCAACCTGAAGCCAATCAGTCTCGGGAATGCCTGTCCCTCTAAGTCACCCTTGGCAACCACCCAGAGGGCAAGCCTCACCATTCACTTGTCCTATCAGAAGCCCGTATTCTCACACTCGGCACCACACCTTTCTTTCTTGGGGCCAATTCTGCAGCCTTTCTCAAACCTGTTCCCCTTCAGGAAGCTCCACTCCAGAATGACTGATTGGCTAATTGAGTCCAATTATCCAGTCAAGCATTTGAGTTCCTGCTCTTTGTCGGCACTGTGTGAGGCCTTGGTCACTCGGGAATCAGGTGAAGCCTCTGCCCTCAGGGAGCTCACAGTCTCATAGATGAAGAAAACATCTAAACGTCTATTTTAATAAAAATTCATTTAAAATGTTTTAATTGTGGGAGCTCTCTCTTCATTTAGTCAGCCACAGTTCAGAGTCATCCCTCACTCCCTATCCAAGAACAATGTGAATAAATCCACCTTGCATGGTGAAACCCATTACCTAATGCCAGAGTGGATATCTGTTGATTTGCGATATCCATTCTGACTTCCCAGAAGTATAGTATTATATTCCCCATCGGCACCCCACCTGGGAAACCAAACTATCACGTAGACAACTGCTCACCACATAGAAAGGGAATTAGTATTAAGAGTCAGATGGAAGGCATCAGACCCTGAAGATATGATGTCTCATTCTTCAGGACACAAACAAACACAAATTTTGAGTCCTCAGACTTCAGAAATCTCTTCCCTGGGTAGTCTTCACTTGACAGTCCCTGCCTAGGCACGATCTCTGGCTGTCTCTTCCTCTATGCTTCCATTGTTGAACAGTCTTCCTCCTGATTGACTTGTTCTTCCTTTCAAAATATGCAAATATTTGATAATATTAATTATTGGCCTTACTGACTGAGGGTAAGTCTTTCCCTTTAGAGTGAAGTGGAATGCCCTGTCTGATCCAATGGAAAATTATTTTAGAGTATAAATTCTCTGCAAGCTTTCATCTTTATTTTAAATTTTGAGAGTGATGTTTCACTATCAAGATTTATGATTAAAATATGAATAAAAAGAGAGCCAATATTTGAATGTCTTATATATTCCAGGTACCAAGATGAACACCCCTAACCTGGCATGTACAATGTTTCAGAGACACAAAATAGCCCGGAGCATTCTGGCTAAGATACAATGGGTATAAAAGACTGATGGAGATAAAACTAGGAAGGAGGCAGGAGCCCAATTAGTTAGTGGCCAAAACAAAGGCATAACTAGGGTCACTGAGTCTAGCAGGTGAGGCAGTTTCAGGATGAGCCTTCCCTCTTATACTGCATGCCTCCTATGCCCTCCTACCTCCTAAGCCCATAGGTATTTTTTTAAATGAAGAATCTGAACCTCCATAGGTGCTCTCATAGAGTGGAGAATAAGGGCAAGCATCTGATTTTTTAAAGGTGCATAGATAAAATTGGATGCCTACTTGAGACTGTTAGTCACAGCTCTGACTCCACCTCCAAGTTCTATGGAAATTTAGATCAGATGATAATCAATGATTCAAACACTCCTACATGGCTAATGACTATCAAAGACTAATCACACTGGAACAGAAAAGAATAGATTTTGTCCTCAAGATAATGTTCTTGTGCATTAGCAAGCCCTCTGAAATAACATAGAATAAACTTTGCCTTTCAAGTGCGGAAACTAAGACTCAGCATACCGGGGACTTGACACCACCAAGTTAGTGACAGAGGTGACTCTTACATATCTACTGTCTACCAATATCAAGTGCTTTCACCTCTATAGGTCACCAGTCAGGAGAAAAGAATTGCCAGGAGAGTCCTTTTGTCACGACTATAAATCATACTTCCGGGCCAGGAGGTGATGGTTTCAAGGTTGCAGGTGTATGACAGGAAGCCTGAGGTGCAGTCTAAAGCGCCGCACAGAGGAATGTGTGAACAACATCCTGAGAAGTCCACAGCTGGCTTTGAAAAATCGGTGATACTGAAATCAAAGCCAACTGAGGCTGAGGACACTGTGGCTGGCAGTCGGCGCCTTCTGAGGGAACAGAACTGTCTTAAATGCTAAGGAAAATGTGACAGAGCACACAAAGTTCATAGCACCCATCCTAACACAGAGCAGATACATCAAAACATGTAGAATGCATCTAAAACTTGGTTCAAAGTGAAATTCCAACTTCAAATGTGTATATGAGAAAATGAGAAAGGCTTATGATAGAAGAATGATAGGAGAATCTATCTCAGAAAGGTAATAAAAAAATTTAAATTAAAAGCAAATATCAGAGGGGGAAAACTAGATGAGAACAGAAATTAATAAATCAGAGAACAAACTAATGAGAGAATTAACAAAACCTAAAAATTGCACTATAAAAACACTGATAAAAATCGATAAGTTCCTGCCAAGAGTAATCAACAAAAAAGTAGTAGGAAAAATGGAAATATACAATATTAGGCATGAAAAAGAAAATAAGACAAATCCTACAAACCTTACATAGACATTAAGAGCATATTTTAGCAGTATTATCTTAATAATTTTAAAATTAATAGATGAAGCACAAATGTGTGCACAAGCACATCATACTAAATCTGTTATAAGAAAAAGTAAATATGAACAGTTGTTTGACTGGTAGCAACGTTAAATATGTAGCTGGAAACTTTCCATCAAAGAAAGTTTCAATTCCAACTGGCCTCACTGATAAACTCTAAAAGCACATTCTAAAGAGATGAAACCAATCTTATTGGCACCAAAACAGACTAGTATACCAATGGTACAGAATAGAGGACACGGAGACTAACCCACAAAATTACAATTATCTTATATTAGACAAAGTGCCCAAAACATGCATTGGAGACAAGATAGTCTCTTCAACAAATGGTGCTGGGAAAACTGGAAATCCATATGCAACAAAATGAAATTAAACCCCTATCTCTCACCATGCACAAAACTCAACTCAAAATGGATCAAGGACTTAGGAATAAAACCAGAGACCCTGCATCTAATAGAAGGAAAAAGTAGGACCTAATCTCCATCATGTGGGATTAGGCCCCAAGTTCCTTAATAAGACTCCTTTGGCACAAGAATTAAAATCAAGAATCAATAAATGGGATGGGGGGCAGGGGATGTGGCTCAAGCAGTAACGTGCTCACCTGGCATGCTGGGACGCTGGGTTTGATCCTCAGCACCACATTAAAAAAAAAAAAAAGATGTTGTGTCCACCGAAAACTAAAAAATAAATATTAAAAAATTCTCTCCCTCTCTCCCTCTCTCCCTCTCTTTAAAAAATAAATAAATAAATAAATAAATAAATGGGATGGACTCAAAACGTTTCTTCTCAGCAAAAGAAACAATCTGTGAGGTAAATAGAGAGTCTGAATCTTGGGAGCAAATCTTTACCCCTCACACATCAGACAGAGCACTAATCTCTAGGGTATATAAAGAACTCAAAAAGTTAAACACCCAAAAAAACAAATAACCCAATCAATAAATGGGCCAAGGACCTGAACAGACAATTCTCAGAAGATGATGTACAATCAAGAAACAAATACATGAGTAAATATTCACCATCTCTAGCAATTTGAGAAATGCAAATCAAAATCACTCTAAGATTTCATCTCACTCCAGTCAGAATGGCAGCACTTAGGAAGACAAACAACAATAAGTGTTGGCGAGGATGTAGGGGAAAAGGTACACTCATACATTGCTGGTGGGACTGCAAATTGGTGCAGCCAATATGGAAAGCAGTATGGAGATTTCTTGGAAAATTGGGATGGAACCACCATTTGACCCAGCTATCCCTCTCCTTGGTCTATACCCAAAGGACTTAAAAACTGCATAGTACAGGAACACAGCCACATCTATGTTTATAGCAGCACAATTCACAATAGTTCAACTGTGGAACCAACCTAAATGCTCTTCAGTAGATGAATGGATTAAAAAAATGTGGCATATATACACAATGGAATATTACTCAGCAATAAAAGAAAATAAAATCATGTCATTTGCAGATAAATGGATGGAGTTAGAGAAGATAATGCTAAATGAAGTTAGCCAATCCCAAATAACCAAATGCCGAATGTTTTCTCTGATATAAGGAGGCTGATTCATAGTGGGGTAGGGAGAGGGAGCATGGGAGGAATAGATGAACTCTAGATAGGGTAGAGGGGTGGGAGGGGAAGAGGGGGCAGGGGGTTATAAATGATGTTGGAATGTGATGATCATTATTATCCAGAGTACAGGTATGAAGACAGGAATTGGTGTGAATATACTTTGTATACCATCAGAGATATGAAAAATTGTTCTCTATATGTGTAGTAAGAACTGCAATGCATTCCGCTGTCATATATAAATAAAAAAAGAATTTAAAAATTAAAAAAAGAAATGAAACCCATCTTAAGAATTTCTATAAAAAAGAAACATAAGCCTCAATTCTACTTATTTCATAATCCCAGAAAATCCTTCATATCAAAATCTGACAAGGACTTAACAAGAAACCAAAGTTATGGACCAGTATCACTTACAATATAGATGCAAAAATCCTGAACAAAATATTAGCAAACCAAACCTGGAAATGTATAAAAGGAATTACACACCATTCGAGTTATATACACTAAGGCAAAATTGGTACAACATTCAAAAACCAGCCTTGTTATTCAACACGTTAGCAGAATAAAAAGAAAAATCATACAAAAAGTAAAAAGGTGTTTTATAAAATTTGGCCCCAATAACTAATAAAAATCCAAGTAAACTAGGGAAAGTTCCCTCATCTCATAAAAGACATTTGTTAGTATCTTAAACATCAGTTAATGGGGAAATTTTCCTTCAGTATAAAGCTATGAAAATGCTGCAGTTGCCATTTTTTGGAGAGCTAACAAAATAAATGTCAAATGTCTATAATCTACTAGAACAAAGTAAAAACCCTGGAATGGAATAACTTCCAAAGTGTTCAGAGATCCTGGCTAATAGAAGAAAGGAAAATACATAGAAGTTGCAATGATAAAAAGGAATGAGGGAATGAAGAATGGAAGGGTGGGAGAATGAAAAGTGAACTGTCATTAATCTGAAAACATGACTGAATGTGTAGGAAATCCAAAAGAATCTGCAGATCTGTTATTAATATAAATGAATGAATTTACCAAGGTTGCTAGATATAAGGACAATGTACAGAAATAAATTGTGTTTCTACTTTACAGCAATAAACAGATGATAATAACACAAAATCCATAATAAAAAACATCAAGTTGCCAGAAATAAATGTCAAACGTCTACATAGAAAATTATAAATCCATCCTATGAAAAATTACATTAAGGAAAATCAAAAGGAGGGATATGCCGTGTTTATCATTTAGAAGACTCAAAATTGTAAAGATATCAATCTATGCTAAATTTACTTACACTTCAATCACAATTAAAACTCAGATATTGTTTTTTTTGTGAAATTTCAAACACTCATTTTTTTTCTGAAAATTTGAAGAACTACAAAAGATAAGACAACCCAAAAGGAGAAGGACAACACGAGAAAGGAAACTTTACCACATGTCGAATCTGAACTATAAATTCAGTGAAATTACAGTCAAGATTCCAAAACTCTTTTTTGTGAAAATTAGCAAATAGATTATAAAATTGTGTATAAGTGCAATAATAGCCAAAGGGATATTTAGGGGGAAAAAAGTTTAGAAGACCTAAAACTCATAAGACTTGCCCAATGTCACAACAACTAACAAGAATAAACAAAACAATGCTCTACAGGACACTGCAGAGAGTTCCCAAGCATACCCACATGCAGATAGCAATCAGATTTAAGTCAGCATTAGTGTGCCAAGCAAGGTAGAAAGGGCAGGTGAACTATAAATCTACGTGGAAAAATTAAATTTGACCCTTAAAAATTAATGGAAAAGAAAAAAACAGCTAGAGGAACATGCAACAACGTGGTTGATTCTGACAGGCTTACTATAAATTTACAGAAACTGTACACAAAATACTATGCATAATGTGATTCAGATTAAATAAAGTTCAAACACTGGCAAATACAATCTGTAAAGCTGTCAAGTCAGAGGAAAATCGATCTTTGGAAACAGGGAGGCACAGTATTCGCAGGCTAGCATGCCAAACACCGGTACCCAAGATACAGAAATATCTCAAATATCCTATAAGTCACAAGAAGCAGGAATCCAGAAATGGTAATTAAACATGAAAAAAGTTGTCAATCTCACTAATAACTAAGAAAAAGCAAACCAAAACAACAATAAGAAGATTAATTAAAGTTTATAATACAAAGTCCTACATGAGGTTGTAGGGAATCCTGGTGAGTATATAAACTGATGTAAAACTTTGTAGAGTAATTTGACATCATTAAAGTAGAACACTTCACTCATATGTCTCTCTGGAGCTAGTGATCATGTACTCCGAAAAACTCATGCTATCAAATGTCCACTAGAGGACCCATATGAAGATATTCATATCCACATTTCTCAATAAAGGGGAAAATAGAAACAACCTAAATGAACATTAGAAATTTAATAAAGACTATCAACAAAAGCAAAAGGTAGCTTTTTGAAAAGACTGAACTCACAAGTCTCCTGTGAAATTAAATGCAATACTTATATTTGTGTGTGTGTGTGTGTGTGTGTGTGGCACAGAGAGAGAGAGAGAGAGAGAGAGAGAGAGAGAAACAAGAACTAAAGTTGAACTCAGTGCAGAAGCAGACATAGAAAGAGATGAAAAACAATGTTCCAATATGTATAAAATCATGAACAAAATGAGCATTTTCTTACGAAAAAAAAAATTCTTCCTGAAACTGACTCAATCTCACCACTAAAAAAAAAGAATCAGGAGACGAAAACCCTCCCATTAAGGAAACTCACCGTCCAGTACTGGTAAGTACAACCAAGAAGTTAGGAAAAAGTAATTCCAAACTAAAATAACCAGCCTGGGCTCCTCCACGCCAAGGATTGCCTTCCAAGTGGGCAGGAGCCAGCACAGTCATGAAAAGAGGTAAAAACTCGAGCTGCAGAAGGATGAGCACAGGAGGCTCTGTCTGCATGAACATGGAAGCGCGAGACTATCCCCAGGTGTGTGTCTGGGTGGCCTTACATGGGGTGCCGGAGCAGGAGTGGGAAAAGGCATTCCCTGGGGGTCCCTGTATAATCCGTAATCTCTGACCCACTTTCATCCAGCAACCATTTGAAGAAATTAGTGTTAGGGGGAAAAATGACACCCTGAAAAATATGGATAATCGCAGGGATACGGATGATACAAATAATAAGACATTACAAAGTCA